GGCCCCCGAAGGGTTCAGCCCAACTCCGCGCGGTGGTCACTTTTAGTGTCAAGTCTAACTCCGCGCAGTGGCCACTCCTAATATCTACGGTAGTTGTTTTGGAAAAGTTTTTACCAAAACAAAGGCTACAGCACATTTGCATGGTTATGAGTTGAAGTTTCAAAAAAGTGTGCTGCTGTTATTAAAATAATACCCCCGCCGCAGCAAAACTGCAGACTAAGCGAACTTCCATTTGCCTGATTGCATTACCAGTAAAATATATCTCTCGAAAATACTATTTTATTCCCTATTTAAATAGCATTAGTTTAATGAGTGCACATAGGTTTGCTGCAAGAGGCAGGGTAATAAGTGTTTTTGTGAAATGTCAATAGTTAAGTGTAAAATTAATGCATTTCCAAATTTAATCAAAGTACGCTCCTTTTACAGGAAACTACAACAATTTATTTATTCTCCATAACAATAACATGGGAATTATAAAATTAAAATTCGTTGGCATTTTTTCTGCAACCATTATGGCGCATAATAACACTTCGATATACTAAATTATTTGTCTTTAAGCTCCACAAATTGCTTTCAAAAGAAATTGCAAAAATGTATGCTTTTAGGGTCAAAATTGGGAAAACTCGATTTTTCCCCATAAACCCCAGTTTCCATGGTCCGATCGTGCTGGTTCGTGAATTCGTTCAATTAATTGTAGGTTTTTTCATATCAAATTTAATCAAAATTGGATCATTTTTGCTCAAATTATCGTGCTAACGGACATATATATATTTATATGAATTCGAACGGATGGTGTTTTCGGCCTTTGGAAGATAAGAGCGAAAAATTAAATCAATGGGTCCAGGTCTTTTTTATTTATTTATTTATTTATTGCCAACGGATTTCACCAATTTACAATAAGAATTACAATAATAGTGAGATACTCATCATGACTAAATACTAAAACTAAGTAACAATGCGAAACTGATGAACAATACAATAGGGATACATGCAAAATATAAGACAGAAAAAAAAACTACTTATACCTAGGAGTAACAAGACATAAATAATACAAGACATACGGTATTGAATAAATAGTAAAAAAGTTTAAGTCTAAGTCTTACCATAATACCTACGGTAATAACTTATTCCCTATATGGGAAATTCGCTAAAACGTTGGTCTGGGTCTGGCTTTAATGAAAATCCTCTTCATAGACGTCAAATTCGCCATTTAATAAGACGTAAAAGAATTATTTTAGCTTATTATACAAGCAAAATTATAGGTTCACAACAGGAGGTGAAACTTAAAAACCACTATGTAAGAATGTTCAAAAAGTCCGTGCGAGGAGTGGATACGTATGAAAGTTACTGAAATTCACAGTTTAAAATTATTTAATATGCTAATACATCTTATTAACGATTTCATGAGCTTTACGTTACACGTGTGTGCTGTGATCACAGATTTTACATTTTTATACAGCAATGTACTGCAAATTTGCTGTAATCTCTTTTTTGTAAAAAAAAAACTTAGCTCTGCATCTAAAAGTGGCTATGGACTTTGTAATGAATAACAAAACTTAATAATCACTTCCAATAACATTTAACAAAAGGAAACATTTAAAAATTCTTTTTGTAATCAAATTTAAAGTATAAGTTTGTTTTTGAGGTGTGCCAATAATGTGATTTAGTTTTTTGGAAAATTAATAAGATATTACTTACCGATACTGTGATTTTTAAAATATTTACGATTGTAAAATGTTTTACTAAGGTTAATATTGCTTCGCATTTTAAAGCTTATAATTATTGTTTAACTATATTAATTTAAATTTATTTTTATTGAAATAAGTATAACTTTTGTAAATTTGTAAATGATTTTACCTATACAATTTTAGTAGGCTAATAATTTGTATTTTATTATCAGTCCAGATATTTAAATGGATTGTTCTTTTTTTGTTGTTGTTTGTTTTGTAAATAATTTACACGATGTTTATATTAACGATTATTAATTTGATGCAAATATGTGTTATAGGACTCTTATTAATGTTTTATAAAAACCACCAATTAATTTTGGCTGGGATTTTGAACATTTTGTTCGTAGATTAATTAAATATAAAGTCAATTTTGAAGTCTGAAGTTTTATTAAAATTCCTATACTGCTTAAGTATTGATATAATTTTGTATTGCAAGTCATAAAAAGACATAGACGTTTTTCGTCCATTTTTTCCAATTTGAGGAGTGTAGCTAACTGTTGTATGAAACAGAGATTACAGCTAATTTGTTATAGCAATCTGCGGTTGTATACAAAACTAATATTTTTGAACTTGGTACTAAAGTTCAGAGAGCTCATAAGCCCAGTAATATGAATGATTGTCTGTTGTAGATATAACACAATTTCAAAGTTCAAACACAAACTCAGCCTCAGGGCTGTGAGAGCCAAAATTGACCACTGCGCGGAGTTAGACATGTGCCGCGAGGGATCCGAAGTGACCACTGCGCGGAGTTGGGCAGTCGGTTTTGACAGATTTCTGACCACTGCGCGGAGTTGGGATAAGCCCCACACGAAAGTTTGCTTAGGTACAACCAGTGTGCAGAGTTAAATTTATTGTTGCTTCAAAGCAATCGCATCACGAAAATCCAGGCATTGTTTCGAAAACCCCTGTGTTCAGTTCTTTTATCTAAAGTTTTCTTTAGCCTTTACTTAGAACAGCTGATGATTTAAAAAAATGATTCCTACTGTACAAATAAACAAGATTGATTTCTGTTCTTCTTGAAAACATGTCTTATTTTTTTCTCTCTTAATATTTCATTTTTATTCACAAACACTCCACATTATTTAATGAATTTCATTTTTATTCACAAACACTCCACACCCTGCTCTAAAACAAAGCTATGCCTAAGTGTCCCGTTATTTTCGGAACAGCGCCATTCAAAGCAACTCCGTTTGAAGCAATGTTTTCGGAACAGTGACTGCCCGATCAATGCTGTGGTTCTTTCGTACCACAGTCTCACCGGCGCAATAATTTCGAAATGCTTTTCGGAGTTATTCTCTCTAGTGTTGCGCTTAACTGGCCACATTCCATTCGGAACATTGCCTTAGTGGTTACTCCTGGAGCGATTCTGCGCACCATAGACCATGGTGAGATTTAGGTAGTTTCAACGCAACCACCAAGCACATAAAAGTGTGTTTGCGTGTGTTGAAGTGGTTTACAAAATTACTTAGCACGCGCAGACCACGGCAAACTTTGACTAGTTTCAACGCATGCGCGTAGGCGGGTTGCACGTAGGAGTGGACCGAGTCACTTTCACTGCTCCACACATAACTCCCGCTAACATACAGCTCCTCGCTCGGCCACTGACTGTTTATGTGCTTATTACGTTACTCACTGCCTCGCACAATTCGCTGGTCCAATAACATACACAGCTATCTAGTATCTATCCATCTCACATTACGCATGGCTTAGATGGAGGGATATTTCAGAAACGGATAAAGTTGTCCTCGTCTAAATCAGTTTTATTTTCTTCGTATGTTGACCAAAAGCTGGGTAAATTGGAATTCAAAACGACATGATGTAGTCTTTATTGTAGGGTGGGTATTAATTGCGCCAACTGACCTGCGCAAGTGGCGGCTCTCTTTGACTGTATAATTGAGTATGTTAGGTTGGGTCAAGTTAGGTTAGGTTAGGTTAAGTTAGGTTAGGTTTGAAAGATAGGTTAGGATGACACGTAAATAAGGTTATTCCTTCTGCCGACAACTCACCCCTATCTGGCTGGTATTGGCGCAACTAAGGAACACTTGTTGGTACCCTTTGAGGGCTTGGCGCAATTAATGAACTCTTTGGCAGTGGCACAATTAATGCACGTCCTTATTCCATTGTCAAAAGCAGTAGCAAAGACCTAACTATATTAGGTCTTGATTCTGTGCTAAATTTCAAAGGTTCCATCCAATTTATCCTTTAAGTAAATGTCTTCTGTTCTTTTTTTGATTAAGCTCATAACACAACTAGAATAGCATATCGGTTAGTTGTAACTTAATGATATTAGACTTTTAGATGCAGAAGTACATCCATGTACAGTATTATCAACCAGCTTTTGCCATTCTTTATGAAAATAGAACTAAGTCGAATGAGCCCATCACAGAGTGGCCAGGAGGCTGCAAATAAGAATCCGTTTTGTCCTTAGCTTTTGTTACTGTGATAGTGATGATACATTAGCTTACAGTAATTTGTCCAGTTTGTTGGTTGAAAAGTAGGCGTTAGCGTATTCAACAGAAAACTGTAATTTACATCAGCTTAAGCCTACTCTGTTCATAACCATGTAGCTCTTAATTAACTAATTAACTACGTTAATTACGTTAAATAACTACGTTATTTTTATTTAAAAACTGTCTTCAGATTAAGCTTGGGAATGGAATGTCTCCTTCTATTTAAGAACCCTTAGTTGATTAATTAAACCTGATTAATTACTGTGAACTTTTGAACAACCTGATGGCGATTTTATTTCATACTATTAGCATAGATGAAGTATTAGCTAGTCGCATTATACCTTGGCTATCCATTTCCACCGCAATTGTAACTGTGTCTTTGATTAAGCTCTTAACGGTGTAGAAGAAAAGTGCTGTCAAGTTTGTGATTTGCTATTAACTATGTCTTTACATTGCATGAACAGTTGGGGTTTTTATGTTGTTAATCTTGTAATTGTTATTGAACCACTAAAACCAAACGGCACAGCTAATCAATAGATAATTTCATGGTATACGCACCATGAAATTGTCTATCCTACAACCACGGAGAATATCTGGGTGGGTAAAAGCACAGTTCAAACTTATGGAGCTTTCGAAAATATTGAAAAACGAACGAAAAACTCGACGATTTCGTGAAAACATCGTGGCCTAGCTGTAATCAATGAAAAGAGCAATTAAGATTATTATGATAGTACAGTATATTATTGTTTATTGTGTATTAAGGTGAACTTAACTTCAGTATCCGTGGTGACTTTAACTTTTATAAAACTAAGAAACTCACCACTCCATAAAGCTCGGCATTCACGGTGTAACGGTAATCCCATGGGAATCTGTAAATTAAAATAAAACATTTAAAAAGGAATTTGTAACACGTACAGTATACGGTTATACAAAAACTAGTTCACCATTGATATCTAGTTTCTTCTAAATACGCAATGTTTTTAATCTTCAACCAAACTATGCCATACGTATAACAACATGTTATACCTTACAATATTTGATTCCAAACAAACAGTTCGTAACTTAGCGCCTACTTGAAGCTATTTGCAATGTTTAAGTTATTTATTTTGTTGTAATTTGTTCATCGTTTTATCGATATAGTTGTATTATTTATTCGCTGATATTCTTCATATTAAACAAAAAATATTAAACTTAGGTCTTAAATTTTCAAACAGTATTTTCTTAAACGTAATTGTAATTACGTAACAATTACATTTAAACTTAGATCCGAGTTGTAATAAGGATCCTAAATGTTTCTTCAACTCAAAAACAGCTGGAGAATCTACATTTGGAGTGTCTACCAAAATAATTACAGACCCATATCAGATTTAGGTCATCAATCAAAATCGGCCATGACGTGTCGCCCATGCAAATGACCACCAGCTGACTGTGAGTATGTAATTATTTAATCAGCTGATCTTACCTTACGTATCTCCATAAGAGGCCATACCGGCACACCACAATCTTAAGTAGTGGTGGTGGATTAACAAATTACATTGTATCGACGATTGCATTAATGGTAAGCTTACTTAAACAATTTATTTTACTGTGTAGTGCAGTTTCAACATTAATGACTAAAGCAGTGCTTTTAGACTCTAGATCTAGTTTAACCAGCTACATCAACAAACATACAGGGTGAATAAAAAGTCAAGACCCCCCCCTCTTTTTTCAAGTATCTACACGGAGATATCCTTTTAGTAGTCGTGCAATCTTAGCAGGAAGTTTCATTTTATGATTTTGAAATTTTTTACTGTCCCCCCAAAAGGGGGGATTTAGGGGGCAAATCAAATATTTTAAATGTAAACCCTTTCAAGTGACACCTCGTTTTGAAGTGTTTACAAAAACATAAAGAATGGTGAAAACTAGAGGTCGCTATCTCTTCTCTATCTAAAATGGTAGCCCATCAAATGTTGTGGAAAATCAATGGTAATATTGGCCATTCTTTAAGCTTTTGTAAACACTAAAATGAGGTGTCACTTGATGGGGGTTTACATTGAAATATTTTTAGTTGCCCCCCAAATCCCCCCTTTTGGGGGACAGTCAAAAATTTCAAAATCATAAAATGAAACTTCCTGCTAAGATTGCACGACCACCAAAAGGATATCTCTGTATATTTACTTGGAAAAATATTAGAGGGGGGGGGGTCTTGACTTTTTATTCACCCTGTAGGTCTGCGTGCTGAACAAAACTGTTTCCCCTGATGCACTATTTAAAAAACTAAATTGTATTTTACCCCATGCATTTGTGACCCTAAAAACCAAAGGTTTACAAATGTTTCAACCGTTTGGACTTAAATTAAATGAATTAAATTATGTAAATTTACATAATTCACACAAATTTAACTGTATTGAAACTTTGTTGAACGCTTCAGTAAAACTGAACGTTAGAAATTCTCACATTATTCTTCTAATGGAAAATTTGTGGACTTTTGTAGTTTAATTTATGAGTACTAGTGTACTTGTTCCTCGAAATCGAGCAACTGTCAAGTACCGATATTATACAGAAGTTATTTTAAAACTTCAGTAATAACAGTCATAATTTTCGATTTTTTCGAGTTTGAAAACCCCCGACTAAATGCTAATGTAACTAATTGAAATACTCACGCTATTTAATAGCACTTTGAACTAATAAACGCTTCTTGTAAAATATTTTAGCATTTTTTGGACCCGACCTTAATTTTTAGTGTTTTCTACAAATGTTTGCCGACTTAAAGCTTTTACCATTTAAACATTTCTTGCATGTATTTTTTTGATCTGACGTTAGGTAGGTTTACTTTACCACTGTGACAACATGATGTGTATATTCTTCATTGTTTTTTTTTGTTACTTCCAAAATAAGTTGCTTAGCATAACTGGCAAAAATGATTCATCTCCCCAAGCGATTGTGTACCTGGATTCCTTACTGTGAGACCAGGCCTCTCCTCTACCCTTCTCATACGTCAAGATTTTTCCTCCTCCTGTTTTCAATATTTCTCCTTTAAACTCAAGAAATTTTCTGTTCTTCCAACAAAACTGATTGACTGTTTAGATTTGTCTATAACCTCCTAAATATTACAAACATCAATATTTACTCCCAAAAAGCTGTTGAGTTTCTTTTTATATACGGCTGTTTTTGTTTTTAAATTTGTTTTCAATGTAATTCTTATGGGGAAAATACGACCTTTGAGTGTGTCTCGAGTCCTTAAGGGTTAGAGTTTTTAAATTCTAAAACCTTTATGCAAAACTTCGAATTGAGACGAATTATTTGACACCTCAAACGTTAAAATCGGTCCAGTAATAACTGAGGAGTTTTATTCACAAAAAACAGCCCTCACGTATTAATATAAGAGATGTTAACACACTTTATTACCTTCCCTGTAGCATCAAACCTAGATACACGTAATCCCTACGCTACACGTATTTTATTAAGGAACTAGCTGTAACCCGCGGGCTTTGCCCCGTTTAACTTCTTAATTTTCAAGATTATCTCGTTCGCATGGCTCAATCACGTCCTGGTTGAAGTTTGTTCGCTACGCTCACTTGCCTTCAGGTTAGCTCGTTCGCTACGCTAACTCGCCTCCAGGTTGAAGTTCGTTCGCTACGCTCACTCACCTTTTGGTTGCAAATTAGCTGTTGTCATAAATGTAAAAGAAATAATAGTGCTGCACCCTGTTGGTAATCCTTGTAACTTTAATGCTATTGAACATCATAGAACATAACCAACTTGTTTAATTGAAACAGCTGTTAAGATTCAATAATTCCATTTCTCATAAGGTTAATATGGGAAACTCCAGAGCCACTGGGGCGGAGCCCGAAAGGATTTTTGAAATAAGAATATGCCTATATGTTAATCGGGAATGTGAGCTATCGTCATGCCAAATTTCAGCCCAATCCGACCAGTATTTTTCGCGTTCACTTGTCACAATCATCCAAACTTTCTCATTTATAATATTACTAGCTGTAACCCGCGGGCTTTGCCCCGTTTAACTTCTTAGTTTTCAAGATTATCTCGTTCGCATGGCTCAATCACGTCCTGGTTGAAGTTTGTTCGCTACGCTCACTCACCTTTAGGTTGGAGCTCGTTCGCTGCGCTCACTTGCCTTCAGGTTAGCTCGTTCGCTACGCTAACTCGCCTCCAGGTTGAAGTTCGTTCGCTACGCTCACTCACCTTTTGGTTGCAAATAAGCTGTTGTCATAAATGTAAAAGACATAATAGTGCTGCACCCTGTTGGTAATCCTTGTAACTTTAATGCTATTGAATATCATAGAACAGAACCAACTTGTTTAATTGAAACAGCTGTTAAGATTCAATAATTCCATTTCTCATAAGGTTAACATGGGAAACTCCAGAGCCACTGGGGCGGAGCCCGAAAGGAATTTTGAAATAAGAATATGCCTATATGTTAATCGGGAATGTGAGCTATCATCATGCCAAATTTCAGCCCAATCCGACCAGTATTTTTCGCGTTCACTTGTCACAAACATACATCCATACATCCATACATCTAAACTTTCTCATTTATAATATTAGTAGGACTAGCTGTAACCCGCGGGCTTTGCCCCGTTTAACTTCTAAATTTTCAAGATTATCTCGTTCGCATGGCTCAATCACGTCCTGGTTGAAGTTTGTTCGCTACGCTCACTCACCTTTAGGTTGGAGCTCGTTCGCTACGCTCACTCACCTTTAGGTTGGAGCTCGTTCGCTGCGCTCACTTGCCTTCAGGTTAGCTCGTTCGCTACGCTCACTCGCCTCCAGGTTGAAGTTCGTTCGCTACGCTCACTCACCTTTTGGTTGCAGATTAGCTGTTGTCATAAATGTAAAAGAAATAATAGTGCTAGTGCTGCACCCTGTTGGTAATCCTTGTAACTTTAATGCTATTGAACATCACAGAACAGAACCAACTTGTTTAATTGAAACAGCTGTTAAGATTCAATAATTCCATTTCTCATAAGGTTAACATGGGAAACTCCAGAGCCACTGGGGCGGAGCCCGAAAGGATTTTTGAAATAAGAATATGCCTATATGTTAATCGGGAATGTTAGCTATCATCATGCCAAATTTCAGCCCAATCCGACCAGTATTTTTCGCGTTCACTTGTCACAAACATACATCCACACATCCATACATCCATACATCTAAACATTCTCATTTATAATATTAGTAGGATAGGTTATATTATAGGAAGTAGGATAAATCTGACTTCTTTAACGAAATATCAGGCAAATGAATCCATGTCATGGTAACTCTTGCTGACAATGATAAGTTCAAACTACGTACTGAATATTTTTAAATGTTGATAGTGATGTTTGTTGTAATGAAATAATACATTTTGACCCGTTGATAAACAGCATGAATAATTTGATGATGAACATTTCATGTTCATTCTAGTTGGATATATTTTCTTTGGTAAAAGAATGAGCTAATTGTAAAGTCGGAATATTGAAGGGCTATCTCGTAATAGGGTAATCAACAGTGGGACTAGCCCGATGGATCGCTAGCATGCCAATCGTAGCGAATGGTCCTTCAAATTGAGGGGTATTGAGAGATCACCTCTTTGACATATTATCAGCTTGTTGACACGACAAACTCAAGGATACGGAGCGATCATAACGGTTTGCAGAAGTTCAGCAAATGGTTTCAATGTTATGACTCATTTGCTGCGATGAATTCCCCCAAACCCATCAACTCAGGAGTTATCACAGATACCATCAACTGCTACAAGGCATATGAAAAGGGCACAGCTAGCATTAAAACCGTTAGTAGTCAAACCTGTAAAGACCACATAAACTGTGCATAAACAACTAAGTGGTTACCTGAGCTGTGAAGGCAACAGCAAAGATCAATAAAGAATCTGCCCTCATCAGTCCAGAAACGATTTTCTCTCGCATTTCATTCCACATGAAATCCAAGCGTCAGATTGAATTAATTGTACTTCTGATTTTGAAATATGTCAGTAATTACACAGAAAGAAAAATGCGTATGATCCTCTAGATAGTTAAACCAATACTGTAGCTTAGGTTACTCAAAAGATTACTCAAAATAATAAACAAACAAATAAAATAATATTCAAGAACAAAAACATATGTTTGTAATAAATTGCTGTCACATGGTGTCGAGAAAAAATACCTTAGATACTTTTTAATAGGCACATTAAATTTACATTGTACATGCATGAATACATCTTACAATTCAATTTCCATTTCAATTACAAGATTTGATTGTATCAAGCTCGCTCTGTATACACCAAATGAATCTCAGATTACAAACACAATTCGAGACAATCACACGATCTCCAAGGTCACATCTCGTGATACCAAGGTCAATACGTCATCGTTTATCTCCATCTCACTCTAATATTAGAGTTTATCAGCCCTCCTGCGTCACTCGCTTCGCTCGAAATCCGGTTATCCTGATTATTTAATGTCTAACTATACTTGCATAATGTTTGGGTGATTGGAAACTAGTTAGGCTATGCAATTTGGTTTGAAGTGGAATTTCAAAAATAAGAGCTGGTGCTTAGAGTTTGAACGTTTTAACGTTTAAAACTCGAGTTATGGTGCTTTGGTATTTTAATCAACTATTCGCTCTTTAATGATGGGAGGGGGGGAGGAGATAACGCAATAAGATTAACAGACATTTGTAATTTAAGAAGTGTTTGGACATATTGATTATACGTTAAGACGTGTACTTTTATATATTTTAGGCAGCTGTGATTAATAACTTATGTAGCCTATTTACAATGTTGATATTATACTAAAAATTCCTAACCCAGACATGGAACTTTACTTTAGTGTTTTGGTTTTGGTACTTTTGAGGCCGTTTAAATAGTGGTAAATATGAGTAGGGAAACACTGGTATCTCGTATATGAACAACAAATTCAGGGTAGGTCTATTTCAAAATTATTAAAATCGTACTCTTATATACTGCATTGAATATATATGGACATTTACTCTGTGTTCTCTATATGCAGATGCTTTCGGTCAAAGTTTTATGGATTTTATCCAACGTAATCAACCTTTAAGAATTCATACTAGCCTTATTTTGGGATTGTTCGTTTGATTAATTATTGCCATGGGGTATACATTTTCACTTTTATTTGGCCAAACTACATTCAAGAATAATTTATGTACAAACCCAAATTCGACAGCTGATTCCCACTTGGCGAGGTATTTACACTGGAAAACTCAAGGTATGTCGAATATGTTATTTGAAACCGGCAAAATTAATTAACATTCGAGCAGACACATTTCAGCGACGTAAATCGTCCGAGTCAAAACAGGTGACAGCGTTCCGGCCGGTTTTTGTCGCGCCTTTCGAAACAAATGTCAAGGAATTTCGACCAATTTACGATTTGAAGATCCGGAAAATCGGCGGTGACGTGTTACACTAGTAAAAATACGAGTTTATCACCCAAATAAACAGCTCAAGTTGTCATGTTAAAAATTTCAAACTTTGTTTAAAGTTTTAGTTCAATTAGTTTGTTCAAAACGGTACCAGGCATCTTACTCATGTCATGCTTAGTGTTTATTTATATTCGTCGGATCAAAATACGCACGTGTTGAATCAAAGTCTATAGTATGTCTGTATGAAGATCGTACATTTTATTATATTAGATTTGAGATTTTACGTGACAAAAATACCGGACAGCAACAACTTCTATTAGTAATAAATAACACGTATAATATTTACTATACAGCTAATTTTGATCAGTTTAGCATTCCACAGCTTGAATTCCTCTTTAAATATTCTATTAATAGGAAAGTGGGGGTGAGAAATAAAAAAAAAAAATATTGGAAATAAATAAAAATTACTTTATTCGAGTGGCTAAAGTTAGGATCTGCAAGTCTTCTGCGGTTCCCTCTAGTAGAGTTCGCGATGAGTCATGTCATTGTGTTAACGTTTAATTGTTTATTTTAATTGATTAATTGTTGTGAGTGTTTTCAAACCTAGTGAGTAACGATTTCAAACATTGGCAAAATTCATATAGTAAAAACTGTGAATATGGAATTTTGAACTTGTATTCGTTCCAAAGTATAAATGGTGTTAAATCAACTAATTTTTATTTAATTATTCATACAAACGACCAAACAACCAATACATAAATAGATGACAAAACGTAGCCATGCGAATACTTACTGCGAAGTTAAGCGGGGCAAAGCCCGCGGGTACAGCTAGTAGTGTATATTTAGAACAATTTAATACGTTTATATAATTGATTGAAATGTATTTGAAGGATCTTTTATCGCATCAAAAGCGGTGAGATTTTGACATATCTACGTAGTTCATAGAATAGGCCTATTGTAACTGCCCATACCATAACATAGTTTTCAGTAAATCATTACAGGTTTAAAACAGTAATAAAGCATACCTTTGCTCTTTTACGCTTGAATTAAATTACCCTTCCATTTGGGAGTGTTGTAGTTAAACTTTGCCTGAACCTCAAATTATTATACCGTGATAGTATAAAGAAATATTTTTCTGTATTATTTGCTCAGTGGTCATCATCCGAATGTTTCTCCTTTGTACTGTGTCTAGATCGTATACTGGCTTGATTTTTAAAAATCTGCTAAGATTCTTTTTGTTTCGTTTAAATAGACATTATCAAAAATTGAAATTGTTGCGTCCTAAACATTCCAAATATTTGTCGAAACAACCTTGGTAAGTTTTGCTAAAATATGTTCATCCGTTATCGAGTGAGTGTTAGAAGGCTTGCATAGAAGTCGACCCCAAAAAGCTTAATAATGTAGGCTATTATAGAGTATGAGGGAAATTGTCGAACACGATTGAAAATTGGTGTAAATCAAATCAATCTTTATTGTTACATATAATCAAGCATCTTACATGTAATTACAATAAATAGAACATTACATGGGCTTCTGCCTGTAATGTTTCTTAGTCTACTATAAACTAAATACATCGTCTCAGAAACGTATTATACCAAATAAAATTGTAGGCATAATGTCCATCAATCAAAAGCTTAGAGTAAGCACAAATTTCCTAAGGCTCTGATCCACAGGCCGATCAAATGGGCCTTGCACGCTTATACGTTGAAATGATTTCATGAATTGAATAAACAGCTGGTCGACGTTATTAACAGGTGTTTTTTTATTTACTTAAGGGCTTTTTGTGTGGTTTGACCATTGCCAGCAATAACCCGCACAGCCTTTTTCTGGAGTGCAAACTTATGCTTTGTTGCAGATGTTTCAGATCCCACACCGAGACTGCATATGAGATAGGGGAAAACCACAGCATAGTATGCTGAAAGAAGCACAGTTTTTTTCTGCAAACAGGGCCAGCCGACATGAAAAAAAGTGCCGGGACCGTCCTCTCTTATTAACCAACGACGAGAATATAAGTAACAATGGAACAGCTGTTATCGGCACAGCTAACTTTATCCGTACTGTCATCGTAGGAACTAATATTTTTAACATGTGATTGGGAATGGGGATGTCACAATCAAAGAAACCTATGCCTAAACTTTAACTCGCAATCAGCTAAAAATAAGTATAAACCAATTTTTTTTTATAATTGCAGTTATAATCAGCACATAAAGAATATGATAATAGATTGTACAGAGGGCAATATATTTCTTAAACCTATGCATGTATAATAATTATAAATCGCTTTAAGTGGTTGTAAACACGTATGTTGAAAATAGGATTAGTTTAAATCACTGTTAAGAAAATGGGAGAGTAAAGCACTATACAGGTACTACGAGGATAATTATTCTAATTAAGGCGTTGTGATGATTTCCCCCCCAAAATAATAATAGATCCAAAGTTTGAACTGAAATAATGGCATGCTTGTTCTTAGACCTTTACCTTCAAACATCTATGGAAAAAGGAAAATATACGGATGTGTATTTTAACGGATGATTAGGGGCCTAATCTAGATAACTTCTTAATCAGAAGTTAATGCAATTTGATTTATGAATATAAATACAAACTCTGTTGAAAGGAGATTATTTAAATCATACAATGTTAATTTTCCTTGTTTGTAAGCTTAAGAAAGCAAACCATTCAAGAAATAAAATAATCCAGAAATTATTTTATTATTCTACTTCTAAAGTTAATATTTCTAACTCACCCTCTATAAAAGTAATAATCCAAGTGTGAGTTAACAACACAGAACACACCAACAATCACTAACACAGATAATAATCGAGGTAATTAAGGCAATAAACTAGTTTAATTATTCGATTAACCACAATCCGCGATACACAGTACGGACATGACCGGGCTGGCGAGTGGTCGCGCACAGACTGGCCAGCTGTTTTCTCTCTCTCTCTCATGATCAGCTGATTTCCACCATCTCCATTGTTGCGAACAGCTGTTGAACTGGTAACAGAAGCAGTTACGCATAAATTACTGAGTGATTTGGAGTATAGCTAATTATCGTTGTACTCTTGTCTTTGCTTGTAATTTTGTTGCGGTGTACAACCTATCAAATGATAACATAAATTAAACATGAAGAATTTACTTAGATGTAGATTAAGGTAGATTTGATGTAGGTATACATGCTAGTTGATATAAATATAAATCTATGTAATAGCAGGCCTCCTTTGAGGTCAACAATTACAATATAGGAAGTTACACAAATTCACTTTAACATTTTAAATTAGTACTTTTGACTATGCATAGAACTAGACATGCAGCTCTTATGTAAAGTTGGTATTCGGTTTTAGAATATAACTGACTGTTTTAAAATGAAGTTTTAGAATTTAAATGGCTGATATCTCTTGATACGATAACTTTTTAAATAAGACAAAAGTCAAACTGTGATGACTTCTTAAACTATAGCAACTTTTACGTCACATTAACAACGTCACATTAACGTCTTCGTAACAAAAAATATGGGAGACCATTTTTATTTTGGTATCAGCACACCATCTGAGTGATTCATTCAAATAAACATGTTCTTTTTAATAACAATTGGCTACAGGTAGGGTAGTATCAAATGGGGCAAAAGTCAACGATGATATATGTCACACCGCTGTAGTAATAATAGAGATCGATGGTCACACCGAATGGAATACGAAAAGAACAATCTAAATCATGGACTTCTTTGAAATCAAAATACAGAAAACAAAATTGAAATAATCATAATCCAAACAGTCACAGAATTTGCCTTAGATGAGCAGGATAACATTATTTTCATTACATAATTTTCTTAGGACACTGAATCGGTATATTTTTTACGGACCGATTAATTATTAGAAATTATAATGCTGTTCTAAGCAACTTTAATTCTTGAAAATATTAGGAAACATTGTTCATGTATCAAGGGGAGAGTTACTACCGATAATTAAAATATATATTTTTTGACTATCCACATTTCCGATAACACCTTGGATATTATCAGCACAGGATAAAGATAAGAGATCCTGTGGTTTATATAGGATGGTTAAATAGACATTTTAATTCAAAATGGACACTGTTTTAATATTTTTCCACGTTTGCCTTATAATTATATTAAACCAACGTCAGATTGAAAAAAATCTGTAAACATATTTTGAAGAAAAAACATTAGAAATATACATCCAATATTGGTTAAATCTTGAGCCTTTTCTATTCGTGAATTAAACAAATTTCCAAAGAAATAATTTCTCTGGACAGGCATTGATGGTTTTGTTTTTTCTCTAATAATTTTTGTGGTAAATATTTTTATTGGCAGTTGAGTTTGATACACTTACGTCCAACATTCTAAAACCCTTCTTCTGTCACCGTTTTATGTAGTATAGTCAATGTTTTATACAAGCTGCAGCCTAAGTTTTATTGCACCGCATAGCCCCATGAGAGTTATGTATGCAAGATAAATAACATGCATAACATCAAGTTTCTTGGTTCAAATTTAGATCCATTCATCTTCAAACTACAAATGTTAGGGGAGATGATGAACACCTACAAATGGTCATGAGCATATTGAAATGTGTCAACCAATAGAATGATTAGTCATAGACTACCGGTTCTACGACTAACCGGTTCTTCCCAACTAATCTGGTCATAATCTATGTCATGTCTGTAGTACTGGAGAGATTAAGGAGCTAGTGCGATTATGTCAGTTGGCCACTACATACGATATATAAATCATGCATTTAATGCTGCCCTGTTTTAATTTCGTTTTGAACGAAATACAGATTCTTAAAAAGTGAAGGTTTACAATACAAATCAATAACTCTGCAAGATTAAATCTAACAAAAAACCACTAAGTGGTAACACTTTCCCCGCCAAGTCAGCAATCCAAAAAAGATAATAAATCATTACTTTTTCCGCCAAGAAAACAATGTAATGTATGTAAGTTTGGCAACTTGGCGGCAGACTTTTGCTTGGTTTTTTTTCATTGAAGTTACGTTCGTGGATAATTTCACAAATCAACTTCTCTAATTAATTAGTCCAACTAAGTATAATAATTTCGAGGTAATCAGTAAATATAAAACCATCACTATTACGAGTTTATGAAATGTGGCACAAATAAGGTCAAATTTTGTAAAACAAGCTCTCACTTAGCAATGTACTAATGGGAGAGATACCTGCTCAATGAAACTAGTTTTATGGTATTTTTTAAAGTGATCGAGTAAAAGTCTGCCGCTAAGTTGCCAAACTTACATACATTACATTGTTTTTCTTGGCGGAAAAAGTAATGATTTATTATCTTTTTTTGATTGCTGACTTGGCGGGGAAAGTGTTACCACTTAGTGGTTTTTTGTTAGATTTTATTTATTTTTGTAGAAAATTAACAGTTAAAATAAAAATCCTCCTTTCTCTGATATATAGACCACGGCACAACTACATCTCATTTAATTTCAATAATATTGTTTGTGTAGAACGAAATTCTACATTTTTGGTCTTATCTGTTTTAAACCGATTACAAACTTTTTGACACACGTACCAAAATTACTATTTAACAAACCCCCTGGGCTTAAACTCAGTTTCAAATTTCATCAATGGTCATCTTGAACAACATGAAATGCGTTGGTGTTACATAAGTGTTCTGATAATTAAACCCGTACATCTAAAGACTAGTGTAAATTGAGCCCTTATTATAGAAGTAAAAATGTAATCAAACAGATTAAGTTTGTTAGAAATAGCATAAACAAAACAAATATTGAAAAAACTCATCTATCCTAAATTTACATATCACTTTTTAATTGCTTGTTTAATGCACCGACTTGAGACACTCAAAAGCAGTGTTTCCCAACCTTTTTCCGTTCAAGGCACACTAACTAGAACACGTTTTTCGTCACGGCACACTTTTCTACAAACATATCGTTGGTTAAAATTACATTTAGTAAGTCATAAAAACCCCTTTTTCAATTAAATCTTACTCGGTAAAACCAGTTTTTTACTAGTAAATATATATATATATATATATATATATATATATATATGCCGTACAGGGTGAGTTTTAATTGTCACAAACCATTTTTAAAAATCTTGATTCATTCCAAAGTTATTAGGGCTTTTTAAAACTTAATTTTTAGCCCATTTTAACATTGTGCATTTACAAACTAAGACCATAGTCTCAAAATAGTGCTAGATAAAGATAAGGATACACTACCAGTCATTGTCGACCTATTTTCACTTAGTTATGACACATGTATTTTTTCAGCCGCCATCTTGGATCCACCATTTTGAAATGTGATAAATTATTTTAAATATGAAGGGGGTGTTGTGACCCATTATTTCAAACTACTTTTTTAAGCTTAACTCAATGCCGCAATTCATTTTTTGTTATCAAGTTTTATTTATGAAATATTGCAATTATTTTGTTAAAAATGTCAATGTTTCAAAATCAAAATATGAAAATGAAAAACGGATCATTGAATTGAGTTCAGCTTAAAAAATAATTTCGAAATGATGGGACACAACACCCCCTTCATATTAAAAATAATTTATCACATTTCAAAATGGCGGCTCCAAGATGGCGGCCGAAAAAAATACATCTGTCATAACCAAGTGAAAATAGGTCGACAGTGGCTGGTAGTGTATACTTATCTTTATCTAGCACTATTATGAGATTATGGTCTTAGTTTGTAAATGCACAATGTTAAAATGGGCTATAAATAAAGTTTTAAAAAGCCCTTATAACTTTGGAATGAATCAAGATTTTTTAAAAACGGTTTGTGGCATTGTAATCAGGGTAAAAATCTAGTTCGGAATAATGGGTCACAACCCCACCTTTACTTTTGGAAAAAAATATTTTGCATCCAATATGGCGGATCCAAGATGGCGGCCGGAAATGACCACCTTGTCAAAATGAAGTACTTACTACACAACAATGTTTGGAAGTGGTCTGGGATTGATATTTGAAAAAATGTAGAAAAAGGTTGGGGGGGGGGGACAATTAAAACTCACCCTGTATATGTATTTAATATAAAGGTGGGTTTACCAAGGTAAAAAATATAAAGCTCACATTTGTTATCCAACATATGTACATTATTTAGTGTTTATTAAATGGAAAGTTTTAAATAATAATAAAACATTGAGCTTGATTAAAATGTTGTATGAATTTACCAATAATGAGTGAGAAATATTTAATAAACCCTGTTTCAGTTCTAGTGGGAAACTTGTGCTAGACGTTTGTTCATTGAAAATTTCTTTCTTGGACGAATGGTTGTTGACAAGCAGACTCTCATATCGTCTTCCAAAGACTTAAGTTGAGAACAGGTTTTGGTCTTGATTGCGTTCATTGATGAGAATGCAGCTTCACAAATGTAGGAAGTAGAAAAGGGCAATATTGCTTTCATGGCCTTCTTTGAAATCAACGGATACTCCTTTAGCAAAGGAATCCAAAAAGATGAAATATCAATATTCACTTTGGTTTTCTTAAGTTTTGATTCTGCGTCCACATCTTCAACTAATTTGGAGTAGGCCTACTGTAGCTTTAAACCACGGTCATTTTTCAAGTCGATCAGCTCACTTTCTTCATCAGTGGTTAACACTGCAGTCTTGTAAGCATTTTCAATTAAAGGATTTCTCACCCAGTCCATCAAATAAATATCAAGGGATGAGAAGTACTTTTTTATAATTTCCTTCAAACAGACGCAGACTTTTTAAAATTGGAAACATCGATTCAACAATGTCAAGTAATTCTACGCAAAAGAACATGCTGTCGTGAACGCGCAACTGCACTTAAAACACGTCTATTATGAGATCAAAAATTGTTTAACTACTTAAAATTTCGCGGCACACCTACAAAGGCCTACCGGCACACCAGTGTGCCGCGGCACACCGGTTGGGAAACACTGC